AGTGTCCTGAGATTGCACAGGGCAGCAGGGCCCTGGGTCTGGCCCATGAAACCACTCTTCCCAAATCCAAACCATATCAGGAAGGAAGAGGAAGAATCTGACTAGGAGGTGGAAGAACTGGGCACAGAACAAGAGGCAGGACCACACAACACCGGGATGCACAGCCAGGCTGTGTGTTTGCATCTTAACCCTGCCATTTAATAGCCATGTGGCCTCAGCAGTAGCTCCCCACTCAGTTTCCTCATCTCTCAAGTGATAATAACTTCAGTACCATTGAGAGGAGAAAACAAGTTATATTTGCAACACCTTTAGAAAGTGTGTGGCACGTATTGTGAATTATATAATCAACATACACATCAAGAAGTACCTGGCATTAACCAGGGTTCAAAAAGTGTTTACTGAATGAAAATCATTTGTGTGTTATTTGGGCTTTGATGATTATATTGGTAGGAAATACCCATATCTCCAATTGTATAACTCCATCCTTGCATCATCACAAATCATGCCCCAATAGAGAAAAAAAAATTTCAAGAATTGTCAATGACTTTCTTCACGTCTAGTCTATGCCCACATCCCATTGCATTGTTTCCAGCCTCTGAAGGCACAGGGGAAATGAAAGTGGCCCCTGCTCTCTCATTGCACAAAGAACCACCTCAAGTTCAAGTACCAAGATTGCACTACAAAGTGGCTACTGCAACCTGGTGGGTTGACGGATGAGCCTAGCCCCACACAGAATGGAAAATACATTCACACAAACATCTCAGTCAAACCTGTCAAGACAGAAAAGCTAGAAAAGACTAATTGAAAAGGAATTCAAATTGGGCATGGTGGCTCACACCTGTAATCCCAGCACTTTGAGAGACTGAAGCGTGAGGGTCGCTTGGGCCCAGGAGTTTGAAACCAGCCTGAAACCAGCCTGGGCAACATAGTGAGACCCTCTCTCTGCTAAAAAGAATTTAAAAATTAGCCTGGCATGGTGGCACACACCTCTAGTCCTAGCTACTCGGGAGGCTGAGGTGGGAGGATTAGATTGAGCCCAGGAGGTAAAGGCTGCAGTGAGCAGTGATTGTACCACTGCACTCCAGCCTGGGCAATAGAGCGAGACTCTGTCAAAAAAAAGTAATCTTTAGCAAAATTAAAAAGCTTCTGACCACAAAGAGAAACATCTATGTCACTGGAGCTGAGAATTAGGAGAAATAAAAATAAGACAGTGGGAATCAAAGACAGGAGAGAGGATGATGCAAGATGATGGAAGCCTCTGTCCTGGGAGCAAAGCCCCAGCTGACCCAGAGTGGGAAGGGCCCAGCAGCTGGATCTGGAGGTGAGGAAACACCCAACAGCACTCAGGGGACCAGAGGATGAAGGAGCTGCTCTCCACGCTCTCAGGGAAAAGCAAGGACATTTCAAGCCCAAAGAAGAAATGAATCTCAGTAGTGAATCCATAGACAGGGCTACGTCTCAGTCACTTTGAGTGAGTCTAGATGGGCACAGTGCTTGTCCCTCACTCTGAGGTCACAGGAGGGTCTGAGGACTTGGGACTGTTCATTTCTCCCAGACCATGACCTTCCTTTGGCAATGGACTTAGTGCTGGGACTAAATTAGACCCCAGTTTTATCAACTAATTTATTAGGCTTTGTTATTTTGCTGCAAATTTGTTCAAAACCAAAAGTATTGATGGAGGAGAAAATCACAAGCCTGGCAGTCCTGACCTCTTTGGATGCAGAGCCGCATGACATTAAAAATTCCAGACAATATTTATGCTTCTCTATAAGATACGTGTTATTAGTCCTCATCTAAACACATTTGTAAACATAACTTGATGTAAGTTACATACAATATGTCACTGAAAATACATAAATTACGGTACCCTCCAATGATTATTTAAAAATTAAAATAGAACAATAAAGCGACCTTTATCTGATGCAGAGAAAGCCAGGATCTGTCTGTCACTGATTGCTGAAATATATTCTACACCTTTCAAGGACAATCGCTGAAGGAGAAAGTCAAACAGATATTTCCTAGAAGTTAAAAGGGGAAATATTTGTGCTGGGTTCCTTTCTCCTCAAATGATGGTTTAGGCTGCGGGGGACTGGGGTGGGGAGCGGTTGACATTAGATAATCACAAAAAGAAAGAAATAGAGACTAGAAGATTTCATGCTGAAATAAAGAAATTCATGTTGCCTTAAATATAATTTGTGTTAGTTACATTTCAATTCCTAATTTATACATAGCAGGGTTGATAAAGAATTGCATTATAACGAAATTAGCTGGAATAATTAGCATAGTGTATGTGCCACTGATTAAACACCCAGCAGATAGCTTGGTAATTAAGATCAGTGAGTGTCGTATTTTGAGGCTTTGTCATCTTATTATCTGCCTAACAAGTGCTTCATCTTTACCTCCCTTCTGATTTGAAGTTTGATAGCAGTCTCTAATAATTCTCGTTTTGTTTCTTTAAATTGCCTTGCCCCAGTGCTGATCATTTTCCTATGGTCACTACCCCCCATTTCATTGTACCTACACAAATGTACCAGTGCTAGATTTCTCCCTACATGTAAGATATTTGATGCTGCAAAGTATTCGTGCTTGGAAATTTAAGCTCAAAAATCTCCTTCAAAACCCCCAGTTCTTGGGCCAAAGAAAGAAGCCGAGACCAATTATACTCTGCAGTTCGGTCAAGCCTCTGAACAGCAGGCAGATGTTCGGAGTTCGTATTTCCCTTCTGGGCAGAGTCCATTACCAGAGATTCCAAGGATGTCTCCATCGGGGTCCATTTGTCAGGGTCTGTGACACTAAAAGGCAGTCACTCCAGTGGCACTGGCTGCTGCTCATTCATGAGCCCAACCTGTGGTGCCATTGCTCCTCCACTCAGGGAGTCTGGAGTTGGCTGTTGTCATTAAAAAATCCATTGGGGTTTTATCATAGAAGGCAGGGCATTACTATTATCAAAGAATAGAAGGCTTGGGAGGATCAACTCAAGTTCCTCACCGGCTGAGCCATTCCCCCTGCACCTCCTTAGACTAAAACCAGGACATTTCCATGATTGAGAGGCAGAGTAAATACACTAGCTGTATCAATCAAGAATGCCTTCCGCTGTACGTAACAGAAAACACACAGAAAGTGCTTACGGCATAAAGACAGGAGGTCTGGTGGCTGGGGTTCCAGAGCTGGGGCAGGGGTTCAGAAATGCCATCCCCTGTCTCTCCCCCACTTTCCGTCCCACTCTCCTTTGTGTGATAATCCTTCATTTCATATCTGTTGCTTCCCGGCTGTGATGTGGCTGCTGCACCTCCAGATATCATGTCCATGTTTAAGGAAACAAGAACAGGAAAGAGGGATGCCAGCCACTTCTGTCCTTCTTGATCAGGAAAGCAGATAACTTCCCAGACTCACCCCAGCAGCCCATGCCTGCTACCGCCAGCCAGAATTGGGTTGCAAGGGAGACTGGACATTGAGTAGCAGGCAAAGGAGACTGCGACTGACACTACCGACCTAAATCAACGTGACTCATCCCCAGGGACTGCGCACAGTGCCCCCACCAAGAAAGCCAGGCCTTGTTGGGCAGGTGGAGGGAGAGTGGATGTTGGGCAGGAACTACAGTGCCTGGCACCTCAAGTGCCGATGGAACAGAAGCTGGAAAATCACACAAAAGAGTTGAAAGGAGGAAGAGGGTATATTAGTCAGTGTTCTCCAGAGAAACAGAACCAACACTATGTAGGGAGAGACAGAGAATTTCTCTTCAAGAATTGGCTCATACTATTGTGCAGTCTTGACAAATCCATCATCAGCAGGGTGGGCTGACAGGCTGGAGACCCAGGGAAGACCTGAGGTTGAGACCAAAGGCTGTCTGCCGCCAGAATTCCTTCTTGCTCAGGGAAGGTCAGTCTTTGGTTCTAATCAGACCTTCGGCTGACTGATTGAGGCCCACGCCACATTAGGGAGGGCCATTGGCCTCACTCCAAGTCTGCTGGTTCAAGAAATTCTAATCTGATCCTAAAAATAATCTGATCCTAAAAACACCTTCATAGAAACATCTAGACTAGCGTTGGGCCAAGTCTCTGGGCACTGTGGTCCCGGCCAAATTGAGACATAAAATTAAGCACAGGGGAGGAGAAAGTGGGGAATGGAAAAGGTGGCAAGATGTGAGGCAAGGCGACGGAGGCCCTGTAAGCTCCACGGCCTTCACGGGGCCTTCAGAGACCACAGTACACTTGGCGTCAGCAGGGAAGCTGCAGGAACAGCTGTGCTTATGCACAAGCTGTCATGCAGAGACCCAAGCACACTGAAGACACAGGTCAAGGAGAGAAAGCCCCACCTCTGCCCCTAGGAGTGCACAGAAACCCACCTGAGGGCTCTGCACTTCCACAATCATGGAATTATAGACTTTGAGCCAAGTTTACCAGCCTTGAGGCATGGGGAGGTCGCAGGTAATATTTAGGTTACTTTTTTCTCACTTCTGTGATGCTTTTGTCTTCCTGAGATCAGCCAGTCCTTCTCTGAATTTGGAAAGCAAAGATTCCATTCTATTCTATGCAGTTTGAGGCATGTCCAATTTACAGGTGACTAGACGCTCCTTTTAGAGGAAGTAAAGGAACACAAGGGGTAGAATATTAGAAAATATTCTTTTCTGCAGAACTGAGGTCCAAGCCCAGTGCCAGGAAGAGGTTTTCAAAGTTTCAGGAGAGAGCCTCACTTTTGATAAAAGAAGACATTATTCAACAATACCCATGAAAGCTCTATTTGAAAATATTGTCTCTCCTTCTTGCACCATTCACAAACATGTCTGCTGCCCCCATCTCTATAATAATCCTTCGCTGAGGCCTCTGGAAACATTACTTCACACCTCCCTGCTGGCAGGTGGCCCTCCCCAGGGACTGTAAGAGGAGCCAGGGTGCTGCTACTTATAGCAGCCCCCACGCCACTCTTGCGGACAGCTGCTGACTTTGGAGTCACTTTAGAGGAAGAAAAGAAGGGCTGGTCACTGCACAAACGACACAACAATGTCCAACTCGGATTACCTTCCCGACTACCCACTCAACTCAGATTTAGTGAAGAGATTAAAGTCTGCCCTGGATGCCAAAGATGAGGAGAGAGTGGGGGATTTAATCTGCACTGAAGTCACGCCTGTGGACGCCGTGATAGAACTGGCCAATGACGACTGGATGAAAGACCCCTCGGCTCAGCTGCCCCCCGGCATGCTGCTAGGTAACCAGAACGAGCCTGCTGCATCTGGGACTTTATTACTAAGTTACGCTGATGGGTGGGCAGATCCTGGAGGTAGAGGGGCAAATGTTTGGAAAAAGCAAATGATATGTACTCGGATATCTGACTCTCGTACATACGTGCATACACGCGTACTGCATAGACTGTGTACATGCGTGTGCTACATAAGCAACAAGTGCAAGATAACACAAAAAAACTAACCCTTGGTGCCATAATCCACCACAGTGGCTGCTCTGTGGCTCCATTGTTTTCCAAGCTTGTCCATTTGCATGTGTAAATTTCATCCACTGATAACCATATCATACACATAATTGTGTGTTCTGCTCCCCTGAGATCTAAAAAATCTAAAGTATCTTCTATGTTGCCAGTCTTCCTAATTTCAATCCCCTATTGAAATACTTAAACCAAATGCCTACAAAAATATAATATTTGGTTACCTTTTTGCTTCTATAAATAATGCTGTAACGAGCATCTTTATTAGGATTCATATGGCTTTTTTCTTATTTGGGATTATATCCTTACCATAAATTCCTAGGAGCCGTATAACTGCAACAAGAACATAACATTTTTTCAAAGTGTATTGTTTCTAAATTGGTTCCCAATTGTTTTCCGCAAGGGTTTCTATTCCCTCTGACAGTGAGGTGATGTGTTTTGCCACAGCCTCACCATGGAGCATCGCTGGTAATGAATGTTTGTATTAAATTGCCATTTAATAAGCATACACTGGTAATTCTTCACTGCCTGCACCCATCCTTTCTTTGCAGGTCTGGACGAAGTCTTGTCCACAGGATTTTTTCTTTGTAGGCCTCATCAGGTGTAAGACTTGTCTATTTGGGTCTTGGGCAGGAACTCTCCATCTCTTTGAATCATTTTTATCATTTTGTAGGACTTCTTTATGTAGCATAGAAATCATCCCCTTGTTGTGCTTCCTGAAAGTGTTTTCCTGCCCTGTGATTTACTTTTAGTTGTATTGTGCTGTTTCCCAGCTTGTCAGATTAGGGGACGAGGTTAGTCTTGGCCCCTAAGGGACGCTGAGGGCTCCTCTTCACCCCCATTCTCCCTTCCAACCTAGGTGCACACATCCACACACATATGCGCAACATGCAGGAGGAACACGGATGGGACATGCGTGAGAGGTGCTGCTAGGGAATGGAGTTTTCAGGGTGCTGAGGTGCTGAGGTCTGAGATTGGAACTTCCGAGGGGGTCCGCCCACCCCCTTGGTTTGGGTCTACTTCCTGGGCTGCCTTGCAACGGGGACTTAAGCAAGCCGCTTTAGTAAGGAACCTTCTCTTGCTTCCTCTTCACCTTGGTTTTCCTAACATCTGGCAGAGGTCAGGAGCCATGATCCAAAATTTGGTACCTTCCATCTCTCTAGATGATTGCCCTGGGGGGATGTGGTTAGGGAAGGCCATCATCACAAGCAGTGATTGGACCGGGAGTGCTGAGCTGTACATCTTGCATTTGCCCTCAAGGCCCACCGTACCCAAGCAGCCCCTGAGGCTGATCTCTGCAAACTGCGACAGTCCCACTTGCCCTCTGGCTCCTTTTGGGTGCCACTAATGAAAGGAGCTGGGGGAAAGCGAGGGCAGGGTAAGTGCTTCCCCGGCCCTCCTTGCCAGATCACTGCTGGGTTTAGCACCTCCTTCTGCGGAAGGCTCGGCTTCTTCCCAGCAGCTCCTGCCCCTCCTGCGCCATCAGGTACACGGTTAGGGATGGCCACCCGCTGTGGCTGCTGCCCCCTGTAGGTGGTCTCCTGTAGCTCCTGTAACCTTGCCTGCCTTCAGCATGCCCTGAGCTCATGCCATCTGCTTTCTGCTGGGATCCCGACTGCAGCAAGCGTCCTCTCAACAGCTCTTCCTTCATAAACCTGTCCCAGCCGGTTGAAGATTTGTGTATTGGGAATCTTGAACCTAAATATCCTTTCTTTTCACATTACTAATTGTCCTGCAAAATCTTTACTGTGTGTCTCATTTTACCAAACACTTGAAACTGTGAAAATGGTGATAGGAAAGTTACATTCCTTCCACAATGAATCCATTAAGTTATAAATTACATACTGATATGGTTTGGCTGTGTCCCCACCCAAATCGCATCTTGGATTATAGCTCGCATAATTCCCACGTGTTGTGGGAGGGACCCAGTGGGAGATAATTGAATCATGGGGGCTGTTTTCCCCATACTATTCTTGTGGTAGTGAATAAGTCTCACAAGATCTGAAGGTTTTATAAGGGGCTTCCCCTTTCGCTTGGTTCTCCTTATCTCTTGCCTGCCACCATGTAAAACGTGACTTTGTTCTTCTCTCGCCTTCTGCCATGGTTGTGAGGCCTCTCCAGCCATGTGGAACTGTGAGTCTGTTAAACCTCTTTGTCTTTATAAATTACCCAGTCTCTGGTATGTCTTTATCAGCAGCATGAAAACGGACTGATACACATACACATGTACTTTTTCCTACCTAATGATTCAGCAGTGCAGGAACAATTTGATACTGATGACATGTTTAAAGTGCTTGGGTCTCTCCAGGTTGCTTCAATTCAGGATGATGGTATGCTAAATGATTAAACAGGTGATCCTAGGGCACGCCTTATCAGTGACTTTATCACAGAGAAAGCAGGCTGGACTTCAGGATGAGGGTGCAGGGAGTGATACAGTCAGACGTTCATTTGGGGTATGCCACTCTGGCTAACATGGGAAACTAGGATTTGAAGGAGGCAGAGAAAGGCTAGGAAGAAGATGAATCTAGCTGGGAGTTCATTCAAGGCAGTTGCCCACGTGAGAAATGGCAAGAGTCTAAGCCAAGGCAGAGGAGGACACAAAGGCAAAGTGACAAAGATGAGAGGAAGGGGGCCCAGGTTCTTGCCTAAGCTCTCCCATGACCTGTGTGACCTTGAACATGTCAGACCACTTCTTTGAACCTTAATTTCCTCATTTTCAAAAATGGAATTGGTCTGGATCATCTCTAAGCATCTTTACAAATATTTGGGAGGCTCGATGGGAAGGCTGTGGTGATGAGAAGAGGATAGGGCCACCGGCTAAGATAGAAACAAGAGGGATCTGGGATTATGATGATTTATTGAACGTCTACTCCACTGAGCTGTGTAACCTCAGGAAAGTCACTTTCTCTCTCCAGACCAACGTCTCCACTTATTAACGAGGGTATGAGATTAGATCACTGCTTCCCACATAGAGACCCACAAGCTTCCTGAGAAAAGCTCCATGGTGGGATGAGCTTGGGAACTGCTTTCTGCTGGGTCCTCCCCTCAGAGATTGCCACGATGACATATCAAAGACTTGGAGGAGTTTTACCACAAAGGGACTTAAGGATTGCAATTGCATTTGGCGCGGTTTCTCATCTCACCCCAGAACCTCACTTTCATGTCTGCTGACAACCCGTAGAATTGGTGATTTGCAGAGGCTCTTGGGGAACCGCTGCTGGCTTGGATCATCCAGGTTCCCTCCTTCTCCATGCTTCCCTGAAGCCATAATCCCAAAGACTCACTGTCACAGCCTAAAATGGGCATAGGCTCCTTTTTCCTGTGGGAACAAATGTTCTCTTTCTCAAGGCAAGGGAAAGTTTGGGGGGACCATCCTTCACGGGAGAAAGAGCTGTTTGGATTATAAGCTACATGTAGGGTCTTTACAATTTTTGAACAGTGGTCAAAACTCATCGCAATGACCTTGAAATGCAGCACATATTGGGAATAGACCCTGTCAAGCATCTAAATCCCCGAGAGGAAGAATGTGAAAAGGAAGGAATGATAACACAGGAAAACGGGGCTGGGCCAAGAGAGGGGGCAGAGCTAGGGATGCCCACCCGGACCAGGAGAAGGCAAGGGTCAAGGCTCATGTTGGCAAAAGTACCTGGGGGAAAGAAGAGGGAAGAGGTTTCTATCCCAAGGACAACCCCAGTAGACAGAAGAACTCTGAGTTTTGTTCAAAAAATGACAATGTGAAAAAATAAGAAAAAGAAAAGTAACCATTCTTTCTGCATGTTAACATGATCACTTGAGGACGTTGCCTCTTGCACTGCAATCACCATGCTCATTGGCCTGTAAACTCATTACTTCCACCAAATAGAACAGAAAGAAACAGAATATATTTTGATGCATCCATGTCAACATCACCACAAAAAAAAAAAAAAAAAAAAAAAAAAGGCATAGAGAAAAAGTGGTATCCAATGGTGGAAAGAACTTTTTCTGGAGAAGTCCCTCAGGTGAACATGTGCCCCCACCTTGGTGCAGGCAGAAGTCAAAGGAACTGAAAATTTTAGCCCTAGTAGACGTTGAGACAAAGCACAGAACATACCCTGAGGCAGGCATTAGGCAGGAGAATGGCCATCAATCCGAGTTCTCTTAAAGAGGCGACTGGCCTGTGTCCTTGTGAAGACACCTGCTCTCCTGCAACGATGGACCTGGGACGCCCAACATCCTGCTGGGCTCACTGAGGCTAAGCCCCCCCAACTCTCTACAGTCAGCCTCCCCATCCCAACAGGATCCTCCCAGCCAGGGCTGCACCTCCTCTGCTCACCTTTGCCATCTCATCCTTCCAGATCCCAAGCAGGGGAGGTCACCTCCATTGGAAGGCCATCCCTGAGCTCTGGGACAGAAATCTTGCATCCTCCCTCCATGAAAGCATAATGCTTTTAGTCTCCATCCATTACTGAAATGCGTGGCCTTGCTAGGCTGGTTTTCATATACCGACTGGACAATTCAAACCCAAGTGCAACCTTCTCCAGAGCAAGAACCTCACCTAACACTCGATTATATCCAGAGCCTAGCACGGGGTTTTAGCCCTGAGAGAAAGCTTGGACTCTGGGTGCAGTGATTGGCATGGAGGAGCCAAGCTCCTTTGCTCACCTTCAGCTGGGTGGGCACAGACTGCATTTCCACAGACACTATCGGGATTTGTGTTTCTGCAGAGAAATATTTAATTCTACTTTCTGCTAAAGCCAAGTCTCTATTGTTTAATATTAGTAACAAGTGCA